CCCTGTTTTTTAGGGGGGGGGAGGGGATGTTTAAGGAGAAACGAGGGTCTTTGGGCTCCACCTGTACCACTTGCAGAGTTGCCACGTCCCTCCTCTTGAAGGGAATGGAATCCCATCCAGTTGACCAGCCCTCTTGCTTCCCAGGGTTCCATGGCAAGGCAGCTTTCGAGGAACTTTACTACCACTAGTTCAGGAAGACGGTTTCGGAGGGTGGCCACGTAGAAGAGCTACATTCGAGTCCAGCAGCACCACAGAGACCAACAAGATTTTCAGGGTATGAGCTTTTGGGAGTCAGCACTTCCTTCATCAGATACTAGTTCGAGAGACGACTCAAGTTCCAGTTTGGTTCGTATGTGTAGTCACTTTGACAGCTTGGAGAAGGGGGGGTGCGTTGCTAACCAGGCCAGCTGGTCCAGCCTGGGTCACGTGCAGGGATTGATTACGGTCTGAGGCTAAAAGTACATGAAATGCAGATGTTAACAGAGAACAATGATAGAAATAACTAGTTAAAATGGAGTTAATATGAAAGGCATCCCTTAGGCGTTTTTGAACTCAGTTGTGGGGAACTTCCTGAGGTCGCAAAGTCCATACGTTTGTTGAATAGGAATGAGAGGTCTGTTCTTCAAGTAAAATCTCTGTGTTCACACTTATATGGAGTGACAAATCAAACCATCTGCTGTTCTGAAAGTTTGAAGCACTTATAAGTTCACCGTAGCTGGGGAAGAATAGGACTACTTGGAGATAGGTGGCCATTAATTTCCTAGTATTGTAGGTTCCCTTGACTGTGTTAGAGAAACCTTTGTCTTCTACATAGAAGAAACATTAACTCAGGTTACATTTATTAAAACAGCATGTGTATTTCGTTGCGTTCAGACAGGTGGGTGAAACTGCTCAGGTAAACAATTTCGAGAAGGGTGTAGAAGTTGAACTCTCTTCCTTCTCATTTGCAAAAAAAGACAGGTGAGGACATTTTTAACAAAATAATCTGATCGATCCATGTTCTAGTGGCCATTAACTGACAGTGTATTTTTCTAACTTTTGGTTTCACATTTGATTTTCCTGCTCAGATAATAAGGGACTGAATAATAAGACGTTATTTAATGACTCTGGGATCTTGTTAGAACCTCTGTGCACTTCAAACTCATCTGTAAGACTGATGAATGTATGTAAAGAGGGGTAATTTCACAATGTGATTTTTGCCTTAATGTGTTCAAATAAAATATTTCTAAAAATGGATTATGTATTTTTTTTAAGGAAGAGTGTAGCGACATACGATTTGTCTCTCGTAATAAAATGGGAAAGCAATGAAAAACCATCTCTGCTTATCTCTTGCTCTGAAATCTGCGTAAGGTGGGGCTTCATAGGGTCACATCACTATAAGTTGGCTGGCACTCGACGGCACGCTCTCTTTTTTTTAATACAACGGTCATTGATGACTGTTTCACATAAGAGGCTTTAAAAAAAAATATTTATATACCAACTTGCTACCCTCTGATGGCAACATAACAAAATTAGTTAGGTTTAGTAAGTGCCACCTAGCCCCAATCTGGATAGCCCAGGCTAGCCCTATCTTGTCAGATCCTGTAAGCTAAGCAGGGTGGGCCCTGGGCAGTATTTGGGAGGGAGACCACCAAAGAATACCCAGGTTGTGACACGGAGGCAGGCAATGGCGAACCACCTCTGAACGTCTCTTGCCTTGAAAGCCCCATGAGGGGTTCGCCCTAAGTCAGCTGTGTGACTTTCACCACCAAGTGGCACACTTGCTTGCTCCAAAATTATTTAAACTTTCAGTTAACTGACCTTAACATGTCGTTAGTATCTGAGCTCAAGACCCCAGAGTATGTATAGATTCACTGCTTGGTATTCTTAGAGGTAGAAACCTGGCAGAATTCTGCTTTTCGCTCAGTATGATCTTAAATATTTGGTTTACAGCAGAGTTGGCTTAAATTTGTTCTTTTAAGTACTGGTTTCACCTTCTAATATAAAAAAAATGGTCTCTCCCCCCCTCCCCGGCTTAATTACAGCTGTTCACACAAGACTTAACGTTATGACTGACTTGGATTTATGGTCCGCATTGATACAATACACGTGGTACTTGTTCATCTGCCACTGAACTAAAAAGACAAAGCATGGTCCCTCTTGAAACCTATGCATAGAAGCCCCAGGGAAATGAATGGGCAGCAAATAACAAGAGAATTTCAGTCTGATTGCATGGGATGCACTACATCTACAGTCGTCTTAGAAAATTAAAACCCAAAGCTTGACTTTGATTTCATTTTGCATTTACTAACCTAACTTTGTGAATATTTTTCCCCCAGTGGCCTTGTTTAAGATGTCTGCTCACTTAGGACCAATATTCCTAACG